CGTCCTTGCTCCGTTCGTAGCGATGGTCTTTGTTACTAGTAGCTTCTTGTTACCAGTAGTAAGGCCTGGAGCCACTAGTAGCGTCCTTGCTCCGTTCGTAGCGATGGTCTTTGTTACTAGTAGCTTCTTGTTACCAGTAGTAAGGCCAGGAGCCACTAGTAGCGTCCTTGCTCCGTTCGTAGCGATGGTCTTTGTTACGTTCGTAGCTTGTACGATTGATGTCCCAGACGTCGAAAGCGAAGGCAAAGGCGCGTTTTTTCCAAGGCCTTGATGAGCGACGACACCTGGAGCGTGCTTCCGAGGACCGATGAAAGGACAAGGAAAACAACACGCTAACAACTCTAACAAGGAAAACAGCAGGTGAAACAGTAGTATTGAGATGTGCCATTGAACTTCCAATTGCCCTTTCGTCGAATGGACTGCCTTTCAGATTGGGCATTTTGGCAGGTTGCGACATCAGAGTGGTCACAATTTGATGTTGTGGATGAGGCTGGCGAACAAACTCCTATTCCGCAACTCTCCATTCTTCTGAAACTTTTCTTTCGCAACTATATGGTACTCTTCCGCAACTACTCTTCAGAAACTATTTTGCGATCTTCAGAAACAATTTTGCGATCTTCAGGAACTAATTATTTCGCGATCTTCAGAAACCATTTCGCGATCTTCAGAAACTATTTCGCGATCTTCAGAAACTTATTCGCACGTTTTAGAAAGTATTCTTCAGAATTTTTACAATATTGTAACTAAATTGCATGAAGCAGCACTGGGTGGGTGGGTTATTGACGTACCTTGTGACGCATGCCTATTTTGCGACTTGCAGAAACTTTTTCGTGCAGGTTTGACGTTGCTCTTTGACTCTTCGTAGTTTTCGAACATTAGTTTCTGAAGAAAACCGTAGAGTTTCCGAAGAAAAGTTTCCGAAGAACACTCAAAGTTTCCGAAGATCACTTTTGAGTTGCCGAAGATTAGTTTCCACAGAACCGTTTCCGAAGAAAGCCGTAAAGTTTCCGAAGATCGAGGCTGGCGGCAACTTGTCAAGGAAAAGATCCGAAGAGCTTGTTCAAGCAGGTCCTGAATGCCATAAATGATTCGCTCATGAGAGCATATATCAATCCTCCCAGACGGGATACCATACCGCGCGAAATTCGAACGTAAGGCCCAAAGACTGGTGACTAGTGCCGTGCTGTTCTCCAAAGCTCAACATGTTGACATGAGTCTTTTTTGAGGCGCCCCCCTTGCTGGTTCCAGTTGCACAACGGCGGCCAAAGCTCAGTGCCCAGGCAGCTGAGCGGCGCAAGACTGAGCAAGAAACGAGAAGCCAACAAGGCAGAGTAGGCAAGACAATATACTTTATGCTATACATTGGACACGAATCATAAACATAACATAACTGAATATATCATGATATGAACTTGTTGATGGCTGAATTTAAGTCTGCATGGGCATACTTGTATTTTGGCAGGAGGGCTCCGATGCCAGGCACGGCATCGATCATTTTTGGAGCTGCTCTGAAGTAGGACAGAGCAGTGGATGAGTTGAATCACATCAATCCAACCTAAGAGCGATGGCCTCCAACCTAAGACTGATGGCCTCCAACCCAAGAGCGATGGCCTCCAACCTATTAGCAATGGCCTCCAACCTAAGAGCGATAGCCATCAAACCAAGAGCGATGGCCTCCAACCTAAGACTGATGGCCTCCATCCAACCTAAGAGCGATAGTCTCCAACCCAAGAGCGATGGCCTCCAACCAAAGAGCGATGGCCTCCAACCTAATAGCGACGGCCTCCAACCTAATAGCGATGGTCTCCAACCCAATAGCGACGGCCTCCAACCTAATAGCGATGGCCTCCAACCTAAGAGCGATGGCCTCCAACCTAAGAGCGATGGCCTCCAACCTAATAGCAATGGCCTCTTAACCTGATAGCGATGGCCTCCAACCTAATAGCGATGGCCTCCAACCTAATAGCGATGGCCTCCAACCCAAGAGCGATGGCCTCCAACCTAATAGCGATGGCCTCCAAGCTAGGAGCGATGGCCTCCAACCTAAGGGCGATGGCCTCCAACCCAATAGCAATGGCCTCCAGCCTAATAGCGATGGCCTCCAACCCAAGAGCGATGGCCTCCAACCTACTAGCGATGGCCTCCAACCCAAGAGCGATGGCCTCCAACCGAACCTAATAGTGATGGCCTCCAATCTAATAGCGATGGCCTCCAAGCAAAGAGCGATGGCCTCCAACCCAAGAGCGATGGCCTCCAACCTAGTAGCAATGGCCTCCAAGCTAGGAGCGATGGTCTCCAACCTAAGAGCGATGGCCTCCAACCCAATAGTGATGGCCTCCAACCCAAGAGGGATGGCCTCCAACCTAAGAGCGATGGCCTCCAACCAAAGAGCGATGGCCTCCAACCCAATAGTGATGGCCTCCAACCCAAGAGCGATGGCCTCCAACCTAAGAGCGATGGCCTCCAACCAAAGAGTGATGGCCTCCAACCCAAGAGCGATGGCCTCCAACCAAAGAGCGATGGCTCCAACCTAATAGCGACGGCCTCCAACCTAATAGCGATGGCCTCCAACCTAATAGTGACGGCCTCCAACCTAATAGCGATGGCCTCCAACCTAAGAGCGATGGCCTCCAACCAAAGAGCGATGGCCTCCAACCCAATAGTGATGGCCTCCAACCCAAGAGCGATGGCCTCCAACCTGAGAGCGATGGCCTCCAACCAAAGAGTGATGGCCTCCAACCCAAGAGCGATGGCCTCCAACCTAATAGCGACGGCCTCCAACCTAATAGCGATGGCCTCCAACCTAATAGCGACGGCCTCCAACCTTCTAGCGATGGCCTCCAACCCAAGAGCAATGGCCTCCAGCCTATTTCCTGACCTGACATTTAGAGAACTGTCTTGAACTGTGCTGCAGTTCCCATTTCTTTCAGTACTTCCAGTGTCCCAACCAGTGTCTCGTACAAACAGAAATTTGCAGCCTCGTCTCGTCAGCACACTTTTTTTGACATCATTTCTTCAAGGGGGTAGAAACAAAGACTGCAGCCCGGCGGTTTCTTCCCACCTCAGCAGAAGAGCAAGTAGCACGTGCTAGTACTAGTGCTAGTGCTAGCAGGTAAGGGTTCTAGTGGAAGCAGGAGTGGTGGTGCAACGATGTCAGCAACGGTAGAGCAGTCGAGGCAGAAAATAATGCCAACAGTTGCAAAATGGTCAAGCAGCCTCGTCGGGTGGGAATAGGTCGAAGCAAAGTTCTGCAATTCGAGCCCGAATATTATTCTCAGCAGGAAGCAACTTGTGACATCATTTCATCATTTAGCTATCAGTTCCGTATGCACTGACAAGAAATAGCGCGAACCAAACGAAACTGTTTCGAAAGAAAGGTGAATGGAATGCCTCCGATTCCAAACTGACCATTCTGAAGTGTTTCATTTCTGTGTTCATCTTGTGTCGTCAAAACTTCGCCAGGCTCCAGCTTTGCAAACCAAGCCCTGCGCCGAAGCTGCCGAACCCGCCTGCAGTGCCTGCGAAATCAGAGAAGGCGTCTGGCCATAAAGGTGTCTCAAGCCTTCCACCTTTCCTCAGTACCAAGGGCAGCTTCTTGCGCAGCACGTAAAACGTGTGTGCTTAGCGCAAAGGAATTTATGGGATCGTTTTCATTGCCCTCTGAGCACACACAAGCCGGATCACCCTTGAACCATTGCGAGCTAGTCAGATCAACGCCCGATAGTCTTTTTTAAAGAGTCGGCCTACATTTGCTATGTTAATTGAGGCATATTGAGGCCATGATATCCTGAGACGTAAGCTACATGGTTTTTGTTTTGGAATTGGTGCCTGAAAGCAAGAAAAGAGATGGACTGGCAGAGCACTCTTGCAGTGCGATGTGTTGAAGTGACACGTTTCGGCATTGGGAAATGTAACGCTAGAAGCTACTAGATGCTACTATAGTAACAAGAAGCTACTAGGGGCTCCTGACCTTACTACTAGGAGCAAGGACGCTACTAGGGCTCCTGGCATCGCTACTAGGAGCATTCTTACTACTATTTCAAATCAAAATTTGGTGGAACAAGGCCTCGGCTTCACCGCAATTCGGTCCACGTGTGGATCACGGAGCGCAACCTGTGGCAGGCTGTGCATGTCAGCAGGTCCTGTGCGCTGTCAATATCGCGCTTCATTTGACATTGTCAAGTTCATGGAATGTTCATATAACAATTCAACTATCTCAAGCCCAAACGAGGCGGTCCGAAACGGCCGCAGTCAGTCCGGGCAGGTCCAGAAATCTTCAAGATGGGACCCAAAAGGCGCTTCAAACAAAATGTGTTCCGCGCTCAACGTGGTGCACGTGTGGCGCTGCGAAACGTTCGCAGGATGGGCCCCGCGATGCTGTGTCCTGCGGTGCCAGCGAAGTTGGGCGATCACCCGGCACCATCGTTTCAGGTCGGGGCATTGAGCTATGAACGTTGCAAGGGGCACTACTAGGAGTCCGAGCAAGGACGCTACGAACGTAGCTCCTGGCCTTACTAGTAACAAGAAGCTACTAACAAAGGGCATCGTTTCAGGTTGGAATGAGCTTCATGGAGTCGGGGCCTCGGGACGTCGAAGTCACTTTAACTCTTTCCGGTTGGAAAGGTTTTCGAGGGACTTTGATAAGGACAGCTGGAAATACTTCAAGTTCTGACGCGACGATCATGTTCTTTTTGAAGTGAATCGTTTCTCTGAAGCTTTCCATGCTCCAAAATTGCAATTGAGACTCGGACCAGTAAGACAGCTTGAGGCCACTCAGTGGCCTAAGCACTGCGAGCAGCTGTGCCACACGCAAAACCCAAGGTGACACTGACACGTTGAGAGGGCAGTTTGTAACAACTCAGCGTACGTACCGATTGAATGCTTCCTCTGACACGTTCGTGTATGTGTTCGACATGGGCACCAGTGACACCAGACTCCCTTGTCAAGCACTTGGCAACCCAGGTACCCGTCAATGGGCTTTGTTGATGTGTCATTTGCTAACGATACTCTCATGACTGTCAAGGTACCATGAATTACCGAGCTTGCCTCTTCCGAGAAGTGAACTTCGTGTAGCTGCGTAGCTTGCCGCAGGTGATATGGTTCTACAGGTCCTTTTGCAGGGAGACAGGCAGGGCCTTGTCAATTTCCAGAGCTGCAGACTGGCTGGAATTTAACGAATCTGCAAACCGGAAGCACAGGTGGGTACCCGTGCGTTTTCATAGGCAAAAGGCTCAGTCTGCTCTCATTGCATGCATTGACGTCCATCGATTGCGCTTACCTCAAGAAACTCACGGGATGATACCGAATGACATTCCGTTAGATTCAGACAGTGAATCTTTGCCTGATTTGTTTTGTGGTTTGGAACAAAAAGGAAAGGACGCCACTAGGAGCAAGGGGCATCGCTACTAGGAGCAAGAAGGACGCTACTAGGGGCTCCTGGCATCACTACTAGGAGCAATGTTTGCTATTAGAAACAATAATTTTGTTTTGAATTCAAGACTCTGCCAGGAACAAGAAGCTACTACTAGGGGCTCCTGGCCTTACTACTAGGAACAAGGAAGCTGCTAGGAACGATGTCGACCTTTTGAGTTTGGCCCAAGGACGGATGACTTGGAACGACGCGCGAATGATTTTTTGGAGGAGGGGACAGACCTTTTAGCAGAAAGTTCACACGGTTGAGATTTTACAACTAACCCGTAATCTTCATCACAGTTCATCTCAAATTGAGCTATCCTGCCGTCCAGTGGGAGGGTCCTGTACCTACTAGCTACCCAGCTACTACTAGCTACCTCTACCGCCTCTACCAACCTACCTGTACGGCCTACCCCCCCGGGGCTAAAAAAGAACAAGTTCTTTCTCGACGTTGTTCGTCTTTGTTCGCCTCACTTCACTTTATTTCCGCCGCTTCGCCTCCCCGTCGAGGAACACAAGCTTAGCTCTTTGGTAAAAGCGGGGCTCTTGCGCCAACTAAAGCAGATGGCCACTTGGAAGTGCAATCTGTAAACTACGCAACGTCGCTCAAACAGACCTCTTTATCGTCTTTTTGCTTATTGCATTCCTTTCCTTCCTTTTGATGTTTTGTTTTTTGTGTTTCCTTTGGGCGGTGCTTAGGCCACAAAGAGGTCGTGGGTAGAGACGTAGGAAGGCCCTGTAGTTAGCAAGAAACTACTAGGACTTGGGAGGGAGAACAAAGGGCCCTTGGAAGATCTTGGAAGCTTCCTAAGTGCTTCCCCATCTTCTTTCCCAACAGATCTTGCAACCCTCCTCCCCAATCCTCCAAATTTTGATGACCGCTCTCCCTAGAATGTGTCACATTGGTTGGCCGCGGTCTCAGCCGCTCGAGGTGACGATGCGCCAACTGTCGGCATCGGTGGATGTCGTGGATCTTCTGTGACGGAGCTGTTCAAAGAGATGTGCTGCACCGTTGTGGCTTACGGTGTAGAAACACATGTGGCTAATGTAGAAACATGTAGAAACTTTGACGTCCAGCCATCAGAGAGGGAGTTTTGCTCACTCTGATAGTTTGAGCAACGTGTCTCATTCGTTTACATACCAGTTCAACACCCCTCAGGATGGCATGGAGCCCTGTAGTGTCAGGACAGAAGTTGCAACTTGATTGAGCCCAAAATACCTGGCTCATTGTGCAAATAATTCAGGCCTAGCCATGCGACTGAATTCAGACCATCTCCATCAGACCACAAGAACCATCAGATGCTACAGATGCTACAGATGCAACGAGGCAGATGCTACAGATGCTACAGCACAAACTTAAACGTCGCCCGACGTTCACGGCATTGGGATCTTCTAAATCGCTTCAGCCCTTTCACGGTGGCTGGAGCAGTTTAAGGAAGGACATGTGAGATTCTGGTTTTATTGCGTTGCTCGTTTGTAGGTGTGGCACTGGGCCAAATTGCAAGTCCTGTGTGAACTCTTCCGAAGATGACCGTACAGTTTAAGCATGCTTAAGCAGTATTTGCTTCAACTGTGCCCAGGAGTGCTAGACGAGCACATAAAGTGTTTGTGTGTTTGGCCAATTATATAACATTATTGTGCATAAGTCCTGGAAGTCCTTGGATGAATCTTTTATCCCGTACGTTGTTCCTTGTTGATTGGATGTGAATTGGTCAAGCGCCAACCAGTTGATGTATTACACCACCCCGCCCCACTTGGCAACGTGTGGGGTAAAAGTACTGTGCTCACGTTTCCAGATCGCATTGCTAGTCTCCTCTGGACATCGGACTCCACTTGGGTGAACCTAGAAACAAGAAGCTATTAGAATCAAAAAGCTACTACGAACAAGTGCATCGCTTCTAGTAACAAGTGCCTTACTACTAGAAACAAGAACCTAGAACGACTCATTGCAGTTTTGCTTCATTTTGCTTCTACCTCGGCTGTCAACAGACCGTTGTACTAGGTCATCGCTAGTAGGCCATTGGACCGATGTACCTATTATACCTAACGGTTGAACTGTTCAAACCTGCCGCTTGGATCAAACAGCCCCAGGGGCGCTAAAGAGTGGCCGGATCGGCCGCATTTTGCCATGGACAAGGCACTTTCTCATCCATTTGCATTGATGTATCAGCAAGGTCAGGAAGGGTACTCCAATCCTTGCAGAACACTGCGCCCTTGTCACGTTCATAAAAAGGCAGCAAGTGTCCGATGGGCATGCCAGGAAGTGGTCATTCTGATCAAATCTGCTAACCAAAGTCATGTTTGGTCCTGCTGGACCAACCATGTGGAATTCTTTGGTTGTGCGTTGAGGTCCATGCAACCGAACGTGGGTTGCCCAGTTAGATGGTATGCTTGAGAATCCTGGCCTAGTCGCTTTGGGCACGTTGCACTTTTTTCCAGACAGCGTGAGCTATTGGGGTTCTTACTTCAAATATAGGAAGAGTTCTGGGTGCTGGTGCCGCTGCTGTGCCGCCCTTGGGAGCTTGGGTGCTGGAGCCGCTGCAGTGTGCCTTTGCAGTGTGCTGGTGCAGTCTTTTTGCTATCTGGGGCCCCTCTGCAGTCTTTTTTTTGCCTCACTGAGAACAGGTTGCTTTGAACACATTTGCTGCTTTACAGTGAAGTGCAGCCCAGGCAGACGGTATTCAGCTGGCAGCAGGTGTGACTTATTGTTCAGGTAAGTAAGTAGATAGTAGCTCTGTGATGATAAAAGAAAAACGCCTCTAGACTCTGTAAACCGAGTGCAAAACCTGAAGGAAAATCCAAAGTGCATTGATTTGCTACTTTGGACTTTCCTTGTGTTCAATCATGTGTTCGTTTACTGCGACTTGTGCTGACTGTGGCGACCAAACACTCATGACCCGTGTAGGAGATGGTGTCGATCGCTTCGATATCTTCGAGTTCCTGGACCGAATCGAGGCGACCAAAAGACAAACATTCTAATAGCTTTTTGTTACTACTAGTAAGGCACTTGTTACTACTAGCGAGGCACTTGTTCCTAGTAGCTTCTTGCTCATATGGAAACAATTGGAAAAAACTATGGACACTTTGTTTACACTCCATGTTCTTTCTTCTTTGTGTTTTTCATCAGCTTGGTGCTGGATGGCTGGATGATTCTGTCAGGACTACCATCCCAGCCATTTGGTTGCGTGGCTTCAGCTCACTGGGCTCGCGTTGAGCACCTGATGTCAATATTTGTAGACTTTGAAGTCATTATATATATATATATACTGCCAACTGGACAAATTTGGCCCATGAACTTGCCAGCTTAGCAATTGAATGGCTTAAGCAATTCGATGCCAGATCACGATTGGTGACCATCGAAGAGCTTCCAGCAGTCAACAGGCCCTTCCAGGCCCTTCCGCTTAGAGGAACGCCGGCTTTGTGAGTTTTGGCAACCGGATAGGACCACTACGGGAAGTTGGAGGTTCCTCCAGATGCCGATCTGGCAGCTTGGCATGTGGATGGTACCGAGCGGCAGAATCAAAAACGAACATGTCCTTCCAAAATGAGCTCGTCCAAGGTTCCAAAACTGACAAAAGTTTGACATGCAGGAATTGACATCTTTAAAATCGGTGGATGCTGGACCTTTTTCCCGGCTCATATAGCAAGAAAGGATGAAACATGAGGGCTCACGGAGCTAGAGAGTGACCAGGAGGACAAGCAAAGCCTCACTTCTTAGGATAGCAGTGTATGTACTTATGAATGTGTTTGGAATACATGCCCCTGGTACCCAGCGCCAAGGTAGTGATTGCAGGTCTCAAAAAGTGCGCCGCAACAAACTCGTGATATATAAATGATCATGCACCGAATACAGAAAGTGACACAAACAGCAACGTAGAGCCAAATCATCTTTGTGCTTGTAACGCATTCTTCAGACGGTATGTGTTGCATCGCTACATGGTGTTTGGACAAGCGTGTTGCCCACCCGGATTCTGAGGCCAGCATCCGGCGCGCGTACCGGAAGCTGGCGCTGTTGACGCATCCGGACTGGCAAAAGAGCATCATAAAAAGGATATAAATATAGGAGAAGATAAAATGTTTGAACAAAACATTGGGGAAGATGAGAAGAGACTGGAAGTGAGGAATGATGCGCAACTGACCAATTCGACGAGAGCCTGAGAAGAGGGAGACGAGACAACTGTGAGGACAAACCCAACGGCGATCGCCAACGTTTTGAGGAGAGTTGACACGTTGTTTGTTGAACTTACGGAGTTTGGAACGGAAGTGCTGTTCAGTTACGTGTTCCGGTTGTGACAAAACTGCTTCTATTGTACGAGAGGAGGTGTCTCGCGCGTATGAGATTCTGACAGACCCAGCCCAGCGAGAGGCCAAACAAGTTTTGATTTTTCTGCTTTGAAGGGAGGCCATCGCTCTAGATAAACTATAATTTTTGATAATTTTGTGATGGCAATGCTGCTTGAGGCGCACGACCAGGAGCGTTTACGCCGAGCTGCTGCTTTGGAGGAAGCTGCACTGCGTACCTTGAAGTTGAGATTCAGGTGCGGTTCTTTGGGAAGAGCACACCAACATGGACAAAGAGTGAAATTATTCAGACTTCTTCCTTGAAGACTCTAAACTCAGCACTCATCCTGAGTTTTATTCTTGTTCTCTACTAGCAGCTACATGAAGGTGTACTGTTTTTTTGTTTTTGTACCCTACATTTTTGCACGCTGAACGCATTTTGGCACCTCGCAGCACCTACTAAAACACCCCCGCACTTGACTGTCTACGACTTGGAATGAACACGCACGCACTCAACGGATACTTATGCAATGACATTTGAACAGTATGGTGTGCCGTTTACAGCACTGGCGCCATGACCGCTTCCGATCTTTCCTGAAGCCTAAACAGGCGCAGGGCCAGGACACACTAAATAGATCTAAATACCACGGCCGTGTGTGGCAGTGCCGCAAGGTCAGGCCAGCGGCCGCAACTCAACAACCATCATGAACCATCAAACACAACACAACGACCATCATTGCAAAGTACAACTTGTTCTTCCGTCGAATCTTCCGTCGATTCTCTCTTCGTTCTCTGGCCGAACAGGAACAGAATGAACAGAGCTGTTGGAACAGATACTAGTAGTAACAAGTGCCACACTAGTAGTAACAGGTGCCTTACTAGTAGTAACAAGAAGCTAAGACGAACGTTGGCGTGTCGCCTCGTCGCCTCGTCGCCTCGTTTCGTGTCGTCGAGGCCAAGCCGCGATGTGGCGAGCGATTTCGGCCGCGACTTGGAGAACCTCACGGGCCGTGCGCGCGAGGCCAGAGAATCCAATTGTGTTTCTTTTCTTTTGTATGTTGAGCATTCTTTCTTCAACTCGCACACTGTGACATCTCACATTTTGATTCTCTTGTCATGCGCACTTTGCCAACGATTGCAAGTCTCCTGAAAGCAAATGATTGTCGTAGCAAAATTCAAAATGAACATGCTTTGGAACATTTTGGAACCAGGGAAGTCGGGTGGAGTTGGGGAGGAGGACGTGTGACTCCAAAGCTGCCAGGTTTTGTGGTCTGCCATGGGCTCCCTACACAGCATGGTTGCAGTGTTGAGCTTGGAGTTCTTGTAGTTTTCTTCTAAAGATAGGTTTTTTCCTCCTGAGGTCCAGTTTGCTGAAAAACAGCCTGCGGAGCCTCAGACTGTGAAGACCTTGAAAGCCTCCCCTTGCACAGCTGTGCTTTCTGTTTATAGAGAGCTAAGGCTGCAGGTCCTGAAGGGTCCAATTTCTTGTAAGGCAGGATTTGTTTCGTTCGAAACGAACTCGATACAAGAACTTGAATGGATCTCAAGGCATTGAAGTTTACTTGTTGCACAAATGCATCAACACTTTACTTCCGCCTCAGGCATGCTTGAGTGAAGTCACGTCTCACGTAGGAGATCTCTACTGGCACTCGATCTTGTACATAGTCCGAACCGACTTGAGTCCGCCCAATCTCCGTTCCAAAAGCGAGAAGTGCTTATACAAGCTCACGAGCTTGATGCCGTCATACCATGTACCTCAGTTGGCACTGGGAGATTCCCAAGTACATGCAATTGAAGTGGCGGTCAGCAGTCTTTGGTCCAGAAGAGCGTAGTTCGACACTGTCTCTCAACATCTCAAATTCCATCGCCAGACCAACGACTTTGAGACTTCAAACTTCTTCACGTCACGACATCACAACGAAGACAGGATGACAAACAAATAATGACGATAACGATCTTGACAAGACAAACATTTTGTGCTTGACTTGATCTCGCACTTTGTGTCACTTCACACTTCGTTTCACCAGCTTCATTGTGGAGGCTTCGTCGCATTTTGTGGGGGGTTTTGCACTTTGGGCGCTCAGCTCAGTGTTGACACCGATTCAAGCTGCAGTCATTTGATAGGAACACCCAATGACCCTGCAGCATGCAGCATGCCTGACATCCTTGAACTCGGAGAGTCAATTGATGGGCCTCAATTGAAAGGACTCCCCGTTCCGGACCCTGAGAGCAATAGAAAAAGCCAGGTGTTGATCACGATGACATGATCATCGAACTGCAACCCGTTATACTCACACATTTGCCTCGTCGGAGCTCCCACGAGTTCAGTATCGTATGAAACGACCTGTCCTGTAGAGGTACCGGGTTCCCGGTATGTCTCCTCATCCCATCTCACCGACTTGAAGGCCTTCTCCATTGCCACCCTCAACACTACACAGTCCTCAACAAATTGCTCCTAGTAGCGTCCTTGCTCCTAGTAGTAAGGCCAGGAGCCCCTAGTAGCGTCCTTGCTCCTAACAGCGATGCCAGGAGCCCCTATAGTAAGTAGCGTCCTTGCTCCCAACAGCGATGCCAGGAGCCCCTAGTAGCGTCCTTGCTCCTAATAGCGATGCCAGGAGCCCCTATAGTAGCGTCCTTGCTCCTAGTAGTAAGGCCAGGAGCCCCTAGTAGCGTCCTTGCTCCTAGTAGTAAGGCCAGGAGCCCCTATAGTAGCGTCCTTGCTCCTAGTAGTAAGGCCAGGAGC